CCCGCTAATCGATTAGAGTTCTGTAGAACAATGAGAGAGCATTTTAACGGTTACAACAACATATGGTTTTCTGATGAATCGAATTTTCACATTAACGGGCATGTTAATAAACAAAACTGCCGATATTGGGCCGAGCAGAACCCGCAAAATATTCACGAGACGCCATTACACTCGCCTAAAGTTATCGTCTGGGCTGCTATGTCAGGGCAAGGAATCATTGGCCCGTATTTTTTTGAAGACAATCGTGGCCAAGCTCAAACTGTAACATCTGAGCGCTACTGCCACATGATTAGGACTTTTTTAACTCCAGCTATACAGAACCATGGTGGCTACAATAGAAACACGTTTTTCCAGCAAGATGGAGCGACTTCTCATGTCACGAATGAATCCTTGGATGCTCTTCATCAGTTATTCCCAGAGAGGGTCATCAGTCGCAGAGGAGACATTAACTGGCCACCGAGAAGTCCCGATTTGACACCAGCAGATTTTTTCTTATGGGGATACCTGAAGAGTAAGGTATACACCCCACCGCCACAAGATTTGAGAGAGTTGAAGCAAAAAATAACAGATGAAATAAACGCCATTCCTCGAGCAATGCTTCGGAGAGTGATCGAAAACTTCAGTTCGAGATTAAGAGAGTGTGACAACATGAACGGTGCTCATTTATCCGATACTCTTTTCCATAAATAAAATTAATGTTTAGGCTTTCGTTTGGTAATAAATTTATCTTTGTAAAAATATTCTAAGTATTTTTATTTATGGCATAAAATAAGAAAATATTTATGAGACACCCTTTACAACCTTAAGCGAACACATAAAAAATGCTTCAATATTTAAAGGAACTTCGAAAGAAATACAAAACGATCTACTGGATTGTATTCTTGAAGTTTGTCATGAAGAAATAATAAAACAGATTAACAGAGCCTCGTATTTGGCGATAATAGCAGATGAAACAACGGACATTTCGGGGGAAACCCAACTGGTAACAATTTTCAGATACGCATTTAACAGCGAACCAGTAGAACGTTTTTGGAATTATATGAATCCCGAAAAATGTGACGCTGATACTCTCACAAAACATATTTTGAGCATCGTAGATCCATTAATAGGAAATTTCCCTAACAAACTGATTTCACAAAGCTATGATGGAGCCGCGGTAATGAGCGGACATAATGCTGGAGTACAGGCAAAAATTAAAGATATCCATTTGCTCACTATGTGCATTGCTATGCGCATCAGTTAAACCTGATTATGTCCCAAGCAGCTTCCGCAAATGCTCAAGTTCGGGTGTTCTTTGGGGATTTGAAAGATATTCCGAGATTTTTTAATAATTTTCCTCAACGCGTAGAGGTACTGAACAGAATTGTGGGGAAAAAATTCCCCAAGGAGCAACAACTCGTTGGAATTTCAATATTCGAACAATAAATGTAGTGTTTGAGAACAGAGAGAAAATTTCACTAATGAAACCGTTTGCAAGGCAGCTTGCGGTATTCACCGTATGCTAAACGATTGTTTTCGTGTTTTGGTTGATATTTTTTCATCATGTTATGCCTCACACCTACATCTTGTTCAACCAGTTGCAGAAGAGAAAAACCGAGTCAGCGCAAGTTAAAACGGCTATCGATAATTTTCAAAAATGTATTGTCGATGTGAGAAATGAAAATGATGACATAATAAATGAAGCCAAAAGTATTTGCACTGAACACCAGGGCAACAAAAGGAGACGACGTAATAATAGCAGTCACGATCACCGAGTTGCCGCATTAGAATATGCGACAACATAGTGAATTCTGCAAATGACATTTCAATTCAAAGATCATTTGGTAGCCGCATCCCTATTTTTCCCCGAACACTTTGGAGAATACTGTGGTAAGTTTCCTGATGACAAGTTGGAAACTACCTGCTTGGCTTATCCCGAACTAGAAAAAAGTCGTTAAAAGACAGAGTTGTCTGTAATTTATGCACGGAATGATTGCCGAGATTTACATGTGTCTCGTTTGAAATTTTTGATACAAAATAGTTTGGAGGAAACACTAAAGGAAACAAAAAAACTATTAGAAATTATTGTTACAACTCCTATGTCAACATCAGAGCGAAATTTCTCAACATTGAAAAGAATCAAGACCTTTCTTCGAAATACTATGACCCAGGATCGCCTTACAGCGTTGTCGATGCTGTCCATTGAAAAGAAATTTATTTCGACCATGGAAAATTTCAACGGTAAGGTGATCGACAAATTTGCTGCCAAGAAGGAGCGCAGGATCGAACTGACATATAAAAAATAGGTAAGTTCGGATTTGCAGAACACCTGTTTTATTTTGCCACGAGCCGCCACTGGTTGGAAAAGAAATGTGACAGTGTAATAGGCCAACTTTTATAAAATAAAACTTTTATAAAAGTTCGTTTCATCCTATGTTTGATAAAAGATTTTGCGTAGCTGTATCAAGATGGCTGAAAACAGATGATGTGTGGCACCTATGAAGCTGCTGATTTCCGAATATGAAAGGTTCCTCATATTATATGACAATTGTCATAGTGACTATAAAAATCTGAACAAACGTTTGGAAACATATAAGGCAAGAAAACGGACACTCGTGCACGATTGAAGACGTAAAAAAGAAATTGAATTTATTGGATGATGCTTGAAAGGGAGCACTGGGTGATCCGAGTGATACACTGGAGGCTAGTGTATCTCTGTCCCGTGACTAGAAATCGCAAAGTCAAAGTCAACATAACTTCTTGGATCTTCCACTGACAGTTCTTGGAGCAAACTATCCTAGATCCCCTCCAACTCACGGCAGGCGATCCACGGTTTGGCCTATATTGGCCTTCTTTTTCGTTGTTAAAGCTACTACAATGGCTGCCAAAGTAAAACTAGCTATGGCAGCAACCTGAACGTTGTCGTCCATTGCTGTATTTGCAATGCCTTCTTAAAATGGCTTATAAAATCTCTTACGCAGTGGCAGTGGCTGTTTGGCAGCCATAACATTTCTGTTATGTATAACTTTTGTAAAAGAAATTTATAAAAGATCTTTGTCAAAGAAATTTTATAGTGGAGATAATGCCGACCTAATCTATTTAAATTTCATTTACTTTGTTTAATTCATAAGCTTTTACTTACCTCAACCCGCTGATTTTTGAAAGATAAGTTAATGTTTCGTGGCTCTATGCACTCACGAGATATTCGCTTTGTTGATACAATAACAGTGCCTCCTCACATAACTTCATCTTTTACTAAATGTTTCACTTATAATGTTACTATCATGTACTATCTGAAAAATCGAGCGATCATTAACATACATTCATCTCTCTCGTCGGTTACATGCATTAAAATGATTCTATATGTATGTCTACTATAACGAGTATACTTTTCCCTTTTGTACAATTTTGATTTATTTTACACAATTAATTCGTTTTTATGTTGAAACCTCTACATTTTTAGTAGTACATATTGTTTTTATTGTTCATTTTGTGGATACACATAAACTTCGCCCGATAAAGACGTTTTATTATTATTATTATCAGAAAAAAAGATGATGATGTTTAGTTGAAATGAGATAACTATGCCAGACCACGCATTGCTTTGAATACGCTTCAAAAAATCGCTAGAGTGGGAGATTATATGACATACCTCATACTTTCCAGATCTAGCACCCTTCACCTATCACCTATTTTTATCGTTACATGATTTTTTGTAGGTTAAACAAATCAAGAAAACAAAGACGTTAATATCTAAACGAGTGCCGGATAATACACCTGGAGATAATACATACCTTTCATAAAAATTGAATATAAGGATGTTCATCGAAATGGCGTAAATAATGATGGAAATTATATTATTCGATCTAGCTTATCCAAGATGTGGAAGAAAACTTACTTTGTTATAACGTAAAAACAGACAACTTTCCGGCAGATCTAATAATTTTATACCATATACAACAAAGCGATATTAATTGGGAAATTTTGGCAAAAAAGCTCAGACAATCCTCAACTGAGAAAGCAATTTAAAAGAACGGCAAGGCGGTCGTGCTAATGCGGATAAATTAAATATATAAAACATTATCGCTTCCCTTCTTATATCTGAATGTTTTAATGTTAAATGCCTTCACTTTTATTTGAATCCGAATTCAGATTATTAAATCCTACATTTTTTCTTGCAATAAAAGAAAATAAAATGATTATGAATATTTTTCAGGGCCGGCTACAGGCGGTAAGCAAGTGGGAGGAAGCTTTTTTGATCCTTTTCCTCATGGCGGCCAAAACTCTGAATTCGAGCACGGGCATGAACTTGCCTCTCCATTTTCAAAGCTGCCCTATGTGGTAGCTTTACGCCGGCTCCACACGTTGGCCCCAACGTTGGCCCCAACGCCACTCGCCCAACGTGTGTATCTAGAAAATAGCGTTGGCCCCAACGTTGGAGCGACCGTTGGTAGTTGGCTGTCGATTGTCGGTTTTATTCAAAGGAATCTGCGCCAACGTTGGCGATCCGTCCACATATTGGCTCACTGGCTCAGTCTTGTTGTAACACGCGTTGAGTGCGTATGTGGAGATATGTCATCAACAAAATCGCTACCCGCGTGGACAAACTAAAAAGTTGTAGAATTTTTAGAGTTATATCAGGCGCATCCAATAATATGGAACACCTCTCGCAAGGACCATAAAAATAAAAATTTAGTAGCCGATGCATGGCGCAATATTCAACAGAATATGAAAATGATTTATTCTATTGAGGAATTAAAAAAGAAAGAGAAACTCTCATTGATGAGCACATATCGCCTATATCGAAAGAAAATTTTGGACTCTATTCGTTCTGGGTCCTCGGTGGATGGTATTTTTAAACCGAATTGGTTCGCCTATGATCTAATGGACAGCTTTCTTGCTCCGATTTATGATAAAACAGATACATACACGATTAATACAGAGGTAAGTTAAACATCAATTAATTATTACTTTTATTTATTTACACATTCATAAACAAAGTCATTAAATTATGACAAATTGCTTTGGTACATAGTTTATTCAATGTGAGTAAAGGTATGATGCGAATTCATTTCTTATTTCTCTTGCATTTTCGGTTGCTCTTATTGGTATTTGATCTAAGGACCTTAATTGTTGCTCTTGTAAAACATTATATATGTGACCCTCTGGCATATACATCCGTCAAGAGTACTCGGTGTTTTTTAAAAAATTATGAAGTACAACGAAAAGTCAATAGATGCTTTTTCGGGTTGTAGCAGCATATTGGTTTTCAACACTCGAAACACCGATGTCATTATTCCAAATGCACATTCAATCACAACACGAGCGCGTGAAAGTCGGCTATTGAATTTTCTATTTGCTGAGCCAGCTGCCGGTAGATAATCCAAAAGCTCCATCTGCCACAAAAACATAGGGCACAGGAAGATGTCGGTCAGGTATAGAGGAGTGTCTTCCGGAAAATTGGAATTGGAACCATATATTTTGTTATAAAGTATGCTATCATTAAAAACTCCAGCGTCATTCATTCGTCCATGTGTTCCTACGTCGGCAAATAAAAAGTTGTATTCACTATCAACTACTGCTAATATTATACTGAAATTGTGTTTATAGTTATAGAACTCTGATCCACTATTAATAGGTGACTCTATTTTTATGTGTTTGCCATATATAGCACCCAAACAATGTGGAAATTGCCATTTTGTTTCAAAGCTTCTAGCAACTTCAAGCCATCCCTGATCATTTTGAGGCATCTGAAACAGAAAAAACATATGAAAATTAATCTGTGGTGTTTTGATTTTAGAGTATGAAGTTTCCTGACGAGGACAGCACTCAAAATAATTTGTCAGCTGGCAATACTTCCACACCATCAGTTAAAAAACGCAGAGAATCTGAAATTTCTGAAGTACGAGCTCAAATGAAGACAGCTGTAAATGTCCTTAATAATATCTCAGATCGACCGCGCGTTGAAGTGGATGAGGTAGATTTATATTGTCAACTACTGGCCAAAAAGACTAAAAAAATTTAATGAGCCACAAAGGGAGATAATAATGCATGATATAGATGAACTAATTTAATATAAGTAGCCCTTCTAGCTGCAGCACATACTCGTACGCAAGATGTACCCCGGATTCCTTGGCACCTACACCATTCCCTTCATCTCAGGTTTTACAAAGCACTGTATACCAGATTGCTAATGATTCTGGCGATTATACAATTGTACAACCACATTATAGCCAAGCAGAATATGTGACAGATCCTTCTACCTCTTCCACTTCTACTCAAAAGGTGGCAATTATATCAAATGACATTGTCTCACAGGCACTTACTCTCTCTCACATATAAACCAAGAATTAAGTGCTAATGAAAGATTTCATTTTACTTTATAATTTTTTTTTCAGTAAATGTGTTTTTGCTTTTTAATTATGGTTTTATTTTGAACATAATATATAAAAAATACTGACCTTTACAAAAGAACGCAGTGCCTCACATAGCGCTTTACAGACTTCGGGCACGATCAGTGATATAACTTCTGGGGAAATCTTGAATAAGTAATGAAGACTTTTGAATGAATCGCCAGTTGCTAAAAATCTAAGTGTCACAGCCAGGCGTACTTTAGCTGGCTTCGATCCTCTGAATACCGTATCTTGTTTTTTTATTCTTGGTCCAATCAATTGTAGCAGGTATTCGAAGTCTATTGAAGACATATGACAAAAGTTATCAAACTGTCCTGAGGGCTCTTGATTCAAATTATTTAGCAAAAGAGATACGAAGATGGTTAAATTAGAGAAATACTGCGCATTTTCAAGCCTAACAATATGCCGTTCAGAAAGCTTTAAAATTCCGAGTTGTTCCGGAGGTATGCCTAAAAAATGCTATTTAATACAGGGCATACTTTTTTACGCGCCATATAAAAAAATAAAGTTGATGATGGTTTCTCCGAAACGAAACGTCGTGCGGAAAATCTCTCAACGCTGTTTTGTAGAGCTTAAAAAGTAGCCTTAAGAAAGTGTCTTTTGTTTTTCCATATCTCTTTAAAACGTCAGAAAAAAATAAAAACGAAATCGGCAAATTTCGGTTTTTTAGGCATACCTCCGGAACAACTCGGAATTTTAAAACTTTCTAAACGGCATATTGTTAGGCTTGAAAATGTGCAGCTTTTTTCTAATTTAACCATCTTCGTATCACTTGTGTTTTCCAAGATCCTCATGATAGACATCCTTATCTTGGACACACTGTATACACATTATTAGATAATTTAATATTAAATTGTCTTGTAAAAAGCTGCTAGAATGGAGTGTATGGTCTGTACTTACTGGTACCGTGTTTTATCATGCGTTGTCATCCACCATCTCCTTTGACGTGGCTTTTTCCTTTTTTTCAATAACAAATATAAATTATACGCACTGTAAAAGCGCTTAGAGCAATTTCGGTTTCGGTGTCGGACATCTTCACATTGGCTCTGACAGAAAGGAACTAGTAGGGGAGACCGGGGCTGAAAGTGACAGGGGTAGGTTGTTACAGTGGCAATGATCGCGGAACAGAGAACGCAATACTGACGTTAGAAAGGGACAAATACTCCCGCCACTGCCGGCACGCATGCCCCGGGAGCCAGTGGTGCCAGCGTTTTTGTGAGGGGAGCACGTGCATGCTGCCATTAAAATCGCAGGTTAGTAAAATTTTATACTTTTAGTAATATTGGTTTACAACCTATGTTACATAAAGGCAGAGATATCCTTGTTGTGATTATTATGCCCTAGTGCTGGCGCTTTGCAATTAATCTACTTTTATACAGCTACGTTTATTGTCGTTTTCACTACATAACCTTAAAAGATCAGATTTGGCGGTGGGGCTAAAAGTTACGTTTGCTCGGGGCAGGTTGTGATTTGTCACTACCTGCCCCGTAGTGCTTGTTTCCGACTGACATAGTTTGTGCTACATATTTTTTGTCTTTTCTTTATAGGATGAGGACGTATATAAGAAAAACGGAGCGGGGCAAAATATCTAAAGATATTTATGAGCAAGCAGCAGTTATTTTGGAGGAAGACAAAACTAAAAAAATTCGTGGCATCGCTAAGGATTTCGGATTATGTCATATGTCGCTAACAAGATATTTAAAGAAACGAAAACAAGCAAAAGAGAAGGGCACACCTGTGGAATCTCTCACAGTCGGCTACCAGAAGAATAGACAAGTTTTTAACGATGAACAAGAGGCAATTTTGGTGAGTTATTTGATTAAATGCAGCCAAATTTACTACGGACTAACGCCAAAGGATGTCAAGCAACTGGCATTTTCTTGTGCACTTAAGCACAACATTGTAATGCCACAATCGTGGCTAGACAAAAAGGAAGCAGGGTCTGATTGGCTAGCGGCATTTCTTAAACGCAATAAGTCGTTATCTATAAGATCACCAGAAGCTACAAGCTTGAGCAGAGCCACATCATTCAATAAAACGAATGTTGGTGATTTCTTTTCTAAATTGGCTGATGTGATGGATAGATATAAATTTCCTTTGGCACGGATATGGAATGTAGACGAAACAGGTGTGACAACAGTACTGAAACCAAGAAAAGTTTTAGCTCCAAAAGGATCTAAACAAGTTGGTTCCATCACATCAGCAGAGAGAGGGACTCTTGTAACTATCTGCGCAGCAGCAAATGCAGTGGGAAACTCGGTGCCATGTATGTTTATCTTCCCTCGAATTAAATACAGAGACTATTTTGTTCGCGATGGACCTCCAGGCTGCATTGGCGCCGGAAACGCAAGTGGCTGGATGACTGGACTTGAATTCAAAACATTTATGAAGCATTTCATAGATAATGTGAAACCATCTCCATCTGACCCTGTTCTTTTATTATTAGACAATCATTCTTCACACTTGGATATTGATGTCGTCGAAATGGCTAAAGAAAATAATGTGGTATTGCTGTCCTTCCCACCACACTGTTCGAATAAGCTCCAGCCTATGGATGTGGCGGTCTACGGACCATTCAAAAATTACTGTGCCAGTCAACAAGATGGTTGGCTTAGAAATAATCCAGGAAAGACAATGACTGTACATGATATACCATCAATAGTGAAAAATGCTTTACCCTTGGCATTAAATCCCAAGAACATTATTAACGGATTTAAGAAGACTGGTATTGCACCATTCAATAAAGATATTTTTCAAGATGATGACTTTTTGTCGGCTTTTGTTACTGATAGACCACTAGGCGAAACGATCAACTCGAACATCGAAAATGTTCCTGTTACGACACAGAACGGGGAGGCTTATGTTTCAGCTCTACCTCCTCCTCATTCTCCTATACAGAGTGCCATGGCATATCCCGAGAGCTCCATTCATGCTAACCCAGTTGCTGGCTGTAGTAAAGATATGATGCCTAACGAAAATAATTTTTCTCCCGAGACTGTTCGGCCTTATCAAAAAGCTGCTGCGAGAACAACCAAGATAAGAAGAAAAACTCGCAAATCAGCAATTTTAACTGATACACCAGAAAAAAATGCTTTGGCTCTGGAACAGAGTAAGAAGAAGGATAAACAATCCAAAAAAGAAAAGTCAGATAAAGGGGGAAAATCTACAGCAAAGAAGACAGAGATAGAACAGGAAAATACCAATAAGAGAAGGAAAACAAGTAACGAAAAAAGAATCCTTGCTGCAAAGAGGAAAGTATTACATGACACTGACGAAGAAAGTGCAGAAGAGGATGGATATTTTTGTCTGATGTGTTGTGATCCTTTTGATCCGAAGAAATCTGGTGAGGAGTGGGTACAGTGTAGAGCTTGCAAGAATTGGTCACATGTGAAATGTGTTAGAGGAAATATTGCATATTACGTATGTGTGAACTGCGAAAGTGATTTTTCAGACTACAGTGACTAAACTGCTTGGTATTTTTTTAAGTGTAGTTTATCTTCAATTACAAAATACGTTATGTTGATTAGTAGGCACGAAGGTTTTATTTAATACCTACAGAGGTTTATAATCTTGTAGTTGAAAAATTATCCATGTTTTGATTTAATGAAGAATACCCAATGTTAAGTTTGTAATTTTGTTTCTTTTTAGATGTTTTCGTTGTAATGAGGCAAAATACTGCTCTATAGATATAAGCATATTATTGAAATTAAGAAAAGTGACTAATTATGTTGAGTGTTCCTAATAAAAACTCTTATAATACGTTTGTTTCTTAGTGTAACAATTTGCCCCATGTAATGTAACAACCAGCCCCCTGCATGGGGTTGAAAGTTACACGGTTTTCTTTTCAGAATCCATTTATTTACGTCATTGCTATTTGTCTGCTATATAAAATATATTTTGGTAAAAGATCCTGAATAGTTACTTCATCAAACAAACCAATACTCAGGTGAAACAATTGAACCACTAAGAAGATATGACAGTTTGAAAAAAAAATGTCACAACCAGCCCCGGTCTCCCCTATAATAACCAACGTGTGGACGCTTCACCAACTTAACCGACCAACGTTGGTACCAACATTGGGGCCAACGTGTGGAGCCGGCGCTAGTATAATAGCCAACGTGTGGACACTTCACCAACTTAACCGACCAACGTTGGGGCCAACGTGTGGAGCCGGCCTATAGATTGAGAGCAGCACATGAAAATGCTGTGCCGCTTTACTTTGGCTGAACGCGCTTAATAACTCGAGAAACTATGGACTAAGTATACACAGCATTGATTCCAAATGATCCATTAGCAAAAAAAGCGAAGTGTTATTAAAACCTGCTCTTTCTTTTTTGAGATCGAATTGTGACGATTATTACCTAACGGTTCTGGAAGGTTTACTCTGATCCTTCAAAAACGGTTTCACTCATAGAAACGACATCTATTCATTTTTGTATTTAAAAGAACCTCTTGTTCTTGAAATTTTGTCTGGTTAACTTATAAGCCACCTGAAATTGAACTGTGAACTAACTTGGTGAATATGAAAAAATATTTATTTCTCCCATAAAGTTCACCAACGTATGGTGAATACTGCGGGGAACGAATTACTAGAAATTGTCGCGCGTGGCAACACCGCGGCACGTTCCTTTGGTCCCCTCTTCATGGCTCAAAAGTTTTGCTGTTAACCATTGCCTAACTGCGCCTGCGCCAATTCTCTCCCGCGGTGTGCAAGCATTGAGAGGGAAGGGGCAGCGAGAACAACCAGCGAACCAGCTTTGCGCGGAAATAGCGAGTTGGCGATGGCGGTTTCATACTAACAGGAGCATTGTTGCCAGACGTACAGATTTTACTGAAGATCTACCGTTTTCAGTCTTGGTATACCTTTCTACCGCAAAACGGTAAATTTATAGGCAATCCTTTTCACGTTATTCAGTTTTCACCATCGGGCTGCTTGGGTGACTGCGCACATATTACTCTCCACCCCGTCACCGTTACGTGATTCATTGTCATAGCTCTCATTTTGTGAATCTAATGCATTTTAAAGGTTGGTCACGTCACGTATACCGTTTTCTGCATTTTACATTTTTGATGTCAGCACTGACAAAACAAACTTGGGCATCTGATCGCTGCTAATATTCGCTTGTCGCTGGCTGCTCAGTAATAATGCGTATGGCGGCTAGAGCTTGAATACTTATCATGGAACCGTGCACAAGATTGAGGATTTTTAGGATCTGCCGCGCAACCCTGAGACAATTTGCAAGCCTTCTGCTCTTCAACAGGATTTGAAAACAAGTTTTCTCCAATATTACAATTTATCAATCTTATAAAAAAATATTGCTACGTCTTAAAGTTAAGAAACCTACGGAAAACGAAGTTTGCTCTGGATCCAAAAACAAAAATAGGGAGAAAACAAGTTTGGGAGACAATTTATGTTTACTATAGGTACCGTTATCGGTAACGCTTTAGTCTCTGAAATTACCAAAAAGCCTTTCATCACAGCCTTTAGTAGTTTCCACAAGCATGTAGTTTTTTGTAATTTAGCTGTTGATCGAAATTTTGGTGTTTAATTGACGTATTTGTGGACAAGCAAAGTTCCTTCTCTTAGCTTTGGAAAAACATACCTTAAAAATATAATAAATTGTTCCTATTTCTTATCCATTGCCTTCTTAAAAGTCTTGTTTAAGCAAAATTTATATGCGGCGGAGGTAATATGACCTTTTTAGGATCAATTAAGCGCAGGAAGATATCGTAAACTTAAATTACCACACACAGAGTCTGATCATTTCGGCTTATCTATAATCAAAGTATGCTTATCCGTAGTCTGCTGTCCCACTTGCAAAGAAAATAAACAGTAGCGTCAAAATTCCATAATGCTGTTCGGCGGGCTCATTTTTTTTTCTGGAGAGTACCTATGGAGGTAACTTTTCCATTTCTTCAATATTCCTGTTTTTGAAAAGAATTACACCCCATAGTATATGACTAATCCCAAGTAAAATTGTACAAGGAAATCAAAATTCAATAGATATTTCAGTCAACATTGATTTGATCGAAATTTTTTACTGCTTCATTGTGCTGACAATTTATTCGAATACTTTCTGGAATAAAAAAATGGCGTTAAGAAAGTTGACTCTGTTCTTCCCACGCAACGCTGTCATCAGTCCGTAAAGGATTACGCTTGGCACAAGTGTTAGCCGTTCTGAGAAAAAAGTTATCTACGAAC